TGGGAGAAGTTGTCGGAAGTTTGGTGAACCGTCTCGTAGCAGCCGGTGGCTGGCGTGGCATGAGGAGACAGCGCGGTTCTGGCAGCAGCGGTGCTCTGGCGTCTCCTTTGGTTACCTAAACAGCCACCAGACTCGTGGCATTGTAGGCGTAATCAAAAGACAAAGGAAACGAGCAGAAAACCGGAGCTTGTGCCATGCACACGCTTTTACCGAGCAGAGTGAGGAGACGTGCTGGCCTGGGACCTTCTCAGCTGAAAGAGAGAAAACCAACGCCATCAGTGAGGGCAAGCCAGCCTCCTGCGATGGAGCTTCTCTGCTGAGAAATAGGAGCTGTCTGGAAGGCAGGCAGGACAGAGACAGGAGTGGAAGTCATCAAGGAAAGCAGAGTGAGCTTAGGAAAACATATCGCTTTGGCCTTTTTTTTTATTTATGTCTTAATGCTGGCTGCCAGGTCCACCAGCATTAAAATCTCATTTTAAGATTGTAAAACAAACAGAAGGAAACCAAAAGAACGGCTCTTTAAAGAGCTGAGGTGGAGGTAGGAATTGAGATAAACAGAAAAATCAATGTTATCAGCAACCCAGAAACCAATTTTCAAATGCACGTGTTTAGTAGGGCAAGCAGTCTGGGCCTTGTACCAGCATAAATCTTGACCTTACCAATAGAAAAGACGGGGGGAAAAAAAGAAAAAGCAGGGAGGCAGTATCAAAGCTACTATCAACGCTAGTAACATAGGTGCGCTTTAATTAACTGTCTGAAAGTTAGTAATGCTATATGACTGCATGACTTCTAAGAATAAAAATGTAAGCAATAGTATAGTGGCTTGATTTTCTTTTTTTTTTAATCTTAACATTGAAATTAAAAAACATTTCTACACTCTTACTACTCGCTATTACTCTGGCATACCCGTGGGTTGCTGCTGTCTGTGTGGGCATTGCCGACGTTCGTCCTGTTCCTTGGGACCATTCTACTGGTTTTAAGACTTTTCAAGGTACCCTTGTTGTGAATATTCCTTTTGTCTGCTGGCGCCGTGTCAGTCAGGTCTCAAACAAGCATTTATTAAGCCGTCTCCGCATATCTGCACTGAGGGCTGCCTTTGTTTCTCTTGGCTCAGTAGGACACTTTTCTCTGCCGCTCTCAAGTGTGTTGTTGGTGGTGGAAGAGCCTCCACGTGAAAGTTCTGGGGAGGGGGGAAAGCCTGGGAGGGGGTTCCACTAAGGTGGAGAGAAGGGAAGTGAGCTAAGGGACTGTTACTGTGAGCTCGGACTTTCTCACCACCTTTGGCGTTTGTTGATGTAATGGCTGCGACCTGCAGCAGACCCTGTGTTTGAAAGCTGTGCTTGCTAGCCAGCCTACTGGCAGGTCACCTCAGCCGATCCAGCCCTGTGCACTTGCGCTTGAACCTTGCTGAGCTGCTTTTAACCGAGTTTGTCCAGCTTCCCATTTTCATGAAAGCATATGAGAAAAATCTGTGTGGTTTTTGTGGTCTACAAAATCTGTGCTTCCCGCTTTGGACAGGGCAGAGTCCTCTGCTTGCATTTAGTGATGGGTTCCCATGTGTGGTCGATAATTCCTCATCTGAGTCTCAGGTGCCATCAGATGAAGGTAGAGGTAACCCCAGAGTACTACCAGTTGTTTCAACAGTACCAGCTTATTGCCTTCTGAGCATACCTACTTGCAGCTTTTCAAAAAGCTTTGTATTCTTAAAAAGGCTCCATGTGTTTTTCCTGACAGCTCTTGGTCAGTACTGGTGAAATATCGTCAGTGATTTGTCTTTGGTTATGCCACCATGAAAGAAAAATGCTCTTTTCTTTGTTCTTGGAAATAAAGTAGTGGAAGAAGCAGCAAGTGTGTGTGATTTGTAATCTCATAACTGCTCAGGAAGCTTACCATCTTAAATATAAACGTGTGTGTGTGTATACTTAGTTTTTTCCTTCTCAGACCTGCTAAAAATATGGATTTAGGTGGATGTTTACCAGTCACACATCCGGGTGTTGAGTGACCCTACCACAGCTGGATGTTCTACGAACAACATATTCCTGACTGACAGCTTCCAGAACATGGTTGCCTTGGGTTTTATCTCCATTAAAGCAACTCTTCCTTTGTTTTTCTGTGAAGACCAAGGGTGACTCTGGTAACTTAGTCTTCATTTGAAAGTGTTGCAGCTATTGCTGATCATCCAAGCTTTGTATTCGTGAATCAGCCCCGCTAGTCAGTATTTGTTTTATGTGACCAGGGGTGTTGAATGTGAATGAATGTTGAATGTTCACGGCAATATTTGTTCTCTCTGTTACCACTTCTTACTGGGTTTTTTGGTCATGCGTGACTGGTTGTGCTAAAGTCGGAGTTTCCTTACCATAACAGACTTATGCATCTTGTCTCTAAGAAAAAAAGGAGTCTGTAGATCTGTTTTATGTCAGTTCTTTGGCCAGGGAGATGACAGGTGTTGAAAGCCAACATGAAAGAGAGTGCATTATTAGAAGGATCAAAGGAATTTTTACTTCCTGACCCGAAAGTTCCTGCCATTTTTTGAGGAATGCTGCTAGCACAGTGTGCATTGCAAAATTGTCCTGCGTTCCGTGAGCTAGAGAGCAGTCTGGTTATGGCACAGTCGGTCAGTCTGCTCGCTGTGGGGCTAAGAGTGCATGCTGGCAAAAATGTATGTTGGCAGGCATATGCTCATATGTGCATTATTTTTACCACACAACTGTGTCTCTACTGGGGGTTTCTGTCAGCAGTTGTCTTGGTAAGACATTAATACTTCCACACTTTAGACTGGCACAGCAATATTGACGGATTTCGGTAGCAAAGATCTGATCTGTAGACATTAGCCACAGAATAAGTTGGGGTTTGGGAGCTATGAGAGCAAAGCCATTTTGCTGTCTTGCCTCTTTTGAGATCAGTCAGTCAACCTGTGCTTCTTTTTTGAGTACTGCTGTTCAGGAATACATTTTGTGGCAGTTCAGCTACTGTTAGCCTGTTACTGTTTCAGCCAGATCGTATTAGTTATGCTAACTTTTTAAGAAATCCTAAGAAATTATTCTGTGGTTAGAAAATATATTAACTTTCAAACCAGACGGCTTCCTTTCTAAAGCCTGCTGTTATCTACTTAAGCCATTTATAGTTCTCCAAGGTACAAAAATTACCTGTCACAGTATCTATGTCTACCCACCTGACAATCACTAAGCATAGCGAGCTCCCAAAAGCCACTGTCTGTTCATTTTTGTGACTTTTGCCATATATGCTTAAACGCCATTCCCCCTATGTATTAAACCACTCTGTAATACCTCTGCTCTCTTGGTTGGATAACCAGTGCTTCTTGATATCATTTGAGATTGTTGTATGTCACGGACAAATGGGGAGATGTTAAGCATAAATTACTCTATTTTAGTTCTTTTCTGTACTTTTTTAATAAATCAACCAAATAAGACATTAATTATTAGTTACATAGTACTATCAACATACTAACTATACTATTTAAACTGACTATATAGAAATTAACTATACAGAGGCATTCAAATGCCACGGCTTTGTCTATGAAATGTGTGCTCGTTAAGTGGTGGAAAAGAACTCAGTTTGAATAGAAAAAAACTATGTTAAAAGTTATGCCCTTTCACAGAAAAATACCAGTAATCCAGATGAAGTGCTATCAGATTGCTTTAGGCACAAGAGTTGCTAGCCCCTAGAAAACTAGGGAGAAAGTTAAGTCTAGCATTAAAGTTGGCCAGTCTTCTGGAAAAAACATTCATATGTCTATTTCACATTTACTCTTGTCATATTTGTTAGTGAAGTATTAATTCTATCAAAATATACATCTACTACTATGAATATTGCAGCAGACTTCCAAAATCATCTATAAAAATAAATACTATCGCCAGGGGGTTTTTGCTGTAAACACTAAAATTAATGTTTATGTATGCTTTGTAGAATAACATTCATTCAAGCAAACTTCCAGAGAGAAAATTGTTTGGGGTTAAAAGAAGTGTAATTAAAGGATATTTTTCTTTTAGGATGCTTTGGGGGTTTTATCTTCTCAAAAATTTTCAAACTAGACATTCAATGTAAGTTATATTTCCTGTTCATTTACTGAATAAAAACATTGCGTAAAATTGTGTATTGCTGTCTGTATACCGATACAAATTCAATCGACTGCTTGCATGTTCTGTATTTATTGTCAACAGCTGAAAAGAAATTTGCCAGCGTACTTGGCTCCTTGGAGGGCTTCTCCATGTGTCTTCAGATCCTCCAAATCGGAACTCATGCCAAATGTAGCCAGTGATGGAGTTGTCTGTGCTCCGCTTCAGACATTCACTGAAGAGGAGAAGATGCTGAAAAATATGGGTACCTATTATCTGTGCAGTTAAAATTCAGAAATGTCTGATCAGAAGGGAATTTTTAGCTTAAAAATTTCTTTTCATTATTTAATTACAGTTGTTTAATTGTAGTTAATGTTAAAACTGCTTTCGTTCACAAGAGAAGAATGTAATGTTCTTTTTCTGTGTTACCATAGCACAGTTCCACATACTGCAGAGCAGTTTACTTTGCATAAATATTAACTGTTTAAAACTGGTGCTGTACTAGAAGTGAAGTTGCCCTGCATTGACTCGTGCCCTTTCTAAAGTGTTTATTTCAGCTACAGTTAACTGCTCTGGCTGGTTTTCAGCGAGTTCAGGTATACCCAGAATGGTGACAGACACGATGTGTCTGCCATGCAGCCAGGCCTGCACGAAGTCAGTATTTCAGAAGGAATCCTGAGAGCAAAGGTGAAAGAGTGAGAACCTGCACATCTGGGACAGACCTTCTAAAAGGCTCCAGTTAAACAGAAACAGTCGTATTTATAGGACTGTGTGCACTTAAAATAGTGTGTTTTGCTATTTATGGTCAAGCCTGAGACCATCTTCCCAAACTGCAGGTTTAATTTATAAAGAAATAAGGTACAGCTGACAAAACAAGGGGTGTATTTGAAATATTTTCTATAATTTTTTTGGTCAACTAATGTTACATAAGTGTTGCTGAGATGCTTTCAAAGTTTCTGAATTTATACAAAGTACTTGGTTTCGTTTAGAGAGCTGTTCAGAAAGAAATTATAATTGAGCCTTGTCGCATATTACCTTGTATCACTTGGGCAACTTTTTGTCCTTTTATTAATTTATCTGGCAGAGTCAGGGAATACACACATAACCTGTCAGAAGTACCATGTTACTGTTATATTGGTCTTCAAGTAGGGTGTTAGAATACTTACGCACTTTCTTTCTTCTCTTCATTACAGTGACAAAATTTGCTCAGGAACGAGTTGCACCTTTGGTACAAAAAATGGATGAGAATTCGAAAATGGAAGACTCTGTAATACAGGGATTATTTGAACAAGGGGTCTGCACACTTTTACTTAATCTTTTATTCAGAAAGTGACATTTTATCAATCTCTAGCTGTGCACTTTTTGTATTTTTAGATTAAAAGATTGCGGGATATAATTCAAATGAGCTAATGAATCATTACAAATTTTGGATTTATCAGCAGCAGGGCAACTTTCTCTTTTTTTTTTTTTTACTGCACTCTCCATCTTTTTGTAATATTCTTTCCATCTCTCCCACTCCCATGCCATATTCTTAGTCTTATCTTTGAGTTTGTATCCTCTTTTTTTTTTTTAAATTGGATAAGCATAATTGCATATAATGCTAGGACCGCCACGACTCTGATAAGTGTTGCTGGAAAAGGGTATCGGGAGTCCTCTATGTCCTTACCTGGCAACCACAAGGACTTGTGTTGCAGGTATCCTGTTGATCTTTCCTGGATTCAATTTTAGCCTTTCCTGCTATCAAACCTAAAGCTTGTCTGTGTTTAGAATGTCATTTCCTACAATGACAATTTACTAGACTTCTGCTGAGATTGCAACTGTTCTGGAAATTTAATCAAATTAGGGTGATGATTTGCCTGTGTACTGCATGTGTTAGTTATTTCTTGCTATCAACTATCAATTTCTATGAAGAACTGTTAGTTTGTTAAGGGTATTGAAGGAACACAGGTCTTTGGGAAAGGACCTGGAAATTCGTACATTCTGTGGGTTGTATTTTAACCTCTTAAGTATCAGTTTGGACTAACAAGTTGTTGACAAGAACTAACAGATTGATATATTTGCATCTTTTACATTTCAGCTGATGAGTATTGAGCTTGGGGAAGAATATGGAGGAACTGGAGCTTCATTTTTTTCAATCATATTGGTGGTAGAAGAATTGGCCAAAGTTGATCCAGCTGTAGCACTTCTATGTGAACTCCAAAATACACTAACAATTAAGTTGTTTAGCACATATGGAACAGAAGAACAAAAGAGAACTTACTTGCCCAGAGTTGCTAAAGATACAGTGAGTCAAAGTCTCCCTTTACTAAACTATAATACAATTTTTAATAGTTAAGTAATGTTAGCGGGGTGGGGTTTTTTCAGTAACTAAATGGATGACTGCAGCATTGGAAAATATGTGTGAACTTTGAAACACTGGTTAGAACTGAGATCTGTGGTGATGTAGATACAACCTGTCATCAGTAGCTGAGAGGTAAAAGTGGAAAGGCACCTGGTGGTTTCATTAAAATTTAATTTACTGTGGAAAAGAACTTTAAAGCAGTTGACTTTGAGAGACATGTAATTACATAGTGTTTCTAGTCTTAATCTCCATATCTGAAACTTAGTTACTTAGATGCAGTAGTTTACAATGTTTGCATTTAAAGGACTTGTGTTTGTTTATAAGTATTTTCATGTCAGAATTTGTTATATGTTGTGCCTTTATGTTCAGTAACAAATAAAATGCATTTTTCCCTTCATTTGACAGATAGGCAGTTTCTGTCTTTCGGAGGCTGGATCTGGCAGTGATGCTTTTTCTTTGAAGACTCGGGCTGAAAAGAAAGGAGACTACTATATTATCAATGGCTCAAAGATGTGGATTAGCTTAGCAGAACACGCAGGCGTTTTCTTTGTGATGGCAAATACAGATCCATCCTTAGTAAGTTGATAAAGAATAGTTGCTTTTCAGTGACAGCTGATTTTATGTGGAACTATGGATTTTATATTAATAGTATGATGTTAAAGGTTAATATTCTTTGAACCTTTTCCTTGCTGACTGCAAACCTTTAAAAATATTTCCCAACAAAAATTGAGAACTTGCTGAGCAATTTAATAAATTCCTCCCACCGGGGAAAATAAAAATGTCAGAATCATAATTGCTTAGATGAGGAGCACAGCATGCATTGGTATTATTCTGAGTAATAGAAGAACAGATAGTCTAAGTCTTTCCAACCTTTCTGATTTAACTGATAAGTTCCTGTTGTTAAAAGGCAAAATAGAGCTTAGGGTACATGCACTGGAAAACTAACAAGAACACAACAGCGAAGTACGTTCAGGTAAAAAAATACATAGCTGAATTTGTATGTTTCAAGTTTTGCCACCAATTTGGATATAGGTAATAGATTCAGAAAAGTCAGCTGCAGGCTTTAAAATGTGCTATACCAGTATGGTAGAGTGATAATCAAATACAGAACTAAATTGTTTAAAACTTTTATTTATTTTTTAAACTTTCAGTATCTCTTTCTTAAAATTTAACTTGAAGATACTTATTTTTAAAATCAAAATTTCAAGTTTTGACTAAATAAGAAGAGGGGTTTTTCTTTCATTGTATCAAATGGTTGAACGTTTTTTGAATTTTTATTCATTTCTTCACAAGCTTGTGGGTGATTTAAGTACTACATACAATTAAAATATATTTGATAAGCCAGTTTCTATATTTGTTAACTGCTGTGCATTGCCTTATAATCTGGAGTTGTTTCTGTAACATTTACATAGTGCAGCATTTTAAAAATACATAATACATTGTCTTCTTCAAGTTAGAAATTTGCTTTTAAATATGGGACATGAAGGACATGAAAAGTCAATGCTGCTCAAAGATTAAATAACGGTTGACGTCAGTATCAAGGAGAAAACAGACCAGTGTAGTACTGAAATGTGCACTCTGCACATAGGGAATTAGAGAAAGTGACAGCTATCAGGAGTCACCGTCCTATACTTCAAGAATCTAGTTTAAGGCTTCACAGATGTGAAGCTTGTAAGCCTGTATGTAGCAGATGCCAGAATTCAGATTGGCTATACAATCTATGTGGTGTCATGTGCGTTATTTAGTGTCCTGTCCAAATCATTGTCTGAAAATCAAATCAACTCTGAGCTTTTTGATAACAACCATCATAATGATTTCGGACTACTTTATTAATTATAAAGTGAAGAGACAGCGATACCAATGTTCTGCAAACTGGAATCACAAGGAGAATGTGTCTACTGGTTCTGGGTGTTAGATTAGGTCTGTTAGAATACTTAGACTTATACTGCACTTTGAATATTCAAGCACAGTTCCCAGTGACGCCAGTTGCATCAGTCAGCGCTCTTACTTTGGACAACCTTCAAAGCAAGAGTATTTCAGGCAGCCTTCCATGAGGAGAGCTGAAGTAATTGGGCTTAAGCAGAATCTTGGGTTTAGAGCCATTGTTCATTTGACCACTTTAGCCTATGTATTCTTGCAGTCTGCTGTTTGACTGTGGCATAACTTCCAACAGCAAGCAGTAACTTCACTGCACAGCAATAACTTGCTTTCCCAGTGATTACCAGTACAGACAGGCACTACAGTCCTGTCTGTTTCATTTACATAATGCCAGTCCCCTGACTTACCAAGAGAACTTTTAAGGTCATTCTGATTATGCTTTCCATGCAGAATATTTTAATAGGAAGGCGTCTCTGGCCTTTGTTAAACCATAATTAGCAGCCATAGAGGGAACAGATGATGGTGCCCGTGTTTTATTGAGTAATATAGTATTAAGCAGGTGTAAAATTTCAATACTAGAATGAGATATTTAGACCACCATTTGGTGATATTAGTATAAAAACCAGTTCTTGATTAATTTTTAATTCATTCTAGGGATACAGGGGAATTACATGCTTCATAGTAGATCGCAACACAGAGGGTCTACATGTAGGGAAGAAGGAGGACAAGCTTGGAATCAGAGCATCTTCTACCTGCCCAGTAACATTTGAAAATGTTAAGGTATTGTAAGTTGTTTAGGTTGAAGCATAATTTGTGTATAATTGGAGTTTGGCCACATATAAGGAAAGAATGTTAACTAAATTCCCAGTATGTTTTTTTTTCCTTAGACGTACTGATTGTTTGGCATATTTTAACTTTTTCCTCCCAATTCTTTCGCAAAATCTTGAGGGGGGTTGGTTTTCTTAAATTTTGATACAGTTTTTCTCAATCATGAGTTTATAATCACATGTATCAGGAAATGTTCTAATCAGATATTCTAGGAGTCAAATGTCTGGTTTATGTTTTATACCTTCACTTCTGAGGAACATTAAATAAAACATGTACACTGATTTACCTGTGAACCGTACTAGCAGTTGCAAAGCAGAGCAGAAGAGGAATAATTGAGTGGTTTTATTCTTTAGGTTCCCGAGACCAATATCCTGGGACAGGTTGGACAAGGCTATAAGTATGCAATTGGAATGCTAAATACCGGCAGAATAGGTATTGCTGCACAGGTGGGTAATTTTGTTTAATATGGAATATAAACAGTATGTAACTTTGAATTTGGATTGACATTTACAAAGTATTTAAAACTACTAAGAATAAACTATTTAGAAAATACTTCATTAAAAACTAAAGGGCCACTAGATGTCACTATTCCTGTATCTAAGTTACAGTAAAATACTGAAACAACTGTAAATGATAAAATTTTCCTTTGGTGACACAAGCAATAGATTTAGAAAGCATTACATGGCAATTAGTTTGTCGTTGGTGGTTAACTTATTGCTACTGAAATATATCAACATTTTTATCTTCCATTATGCAAATTTATTTTACAAAGAAAACTAGCTTTGGAAAATACAATCCACTGAAATGTAAAATATTAATGCTTCCAACTGTGATTGTATGGGATTGCCAAATGTGACTTTAGGCTAACTGATGTTTTCTCAACAACTTCTTTTTAAAAGTCAGCTTATTTTTAAAATAAGTAAGATGGGTTTTTTATAGCAGAAGTGTCCTAATTCACTGTTGTGTTTGAAAATTGCATCTTATGACATCTCAGGGGAGAATATTTGTTGACCTTGGAGTTATTTCAAAATGTTGTATACTGTTGTAAATTCGATTTGGATCTCAGATTGCTGCTGATTTCAGTGGAAATCAGGTTCAGCCCTATAATAAAATTACTTACAGCAAGTTTTTATATCTTTAATTTACTTTTGAAAGTAATCTTTTCTTTGTTTCTACTTTGTTGTGGATGTAGTTGTGCTGTATAGGGTGTAATATGTCTGTACTACCAGTCTCCCTTATCTTTTGCCCTAGTTTGCAAACAGACCAGAAGGAATAGACCTCATGAAATTTAGACTTTCCACTTGGCAGTATACTATGCTGCTAAATGGGTTGGCTTTTCCATCATTTCTAAAGATTATCTGTGATTAAACTTTGTCTGATATGGCATTTAAAAACTAGGGCTGTGGGCCCACTGTTCCCAGAAATATAAATAATAGAGAGGCTCTAGCAGTAAAATACATGGTCTGGATTTTACTCTTAATTACTCCAAGTTATACTTACAACCTAATTAAAAGTTAAGGTCAGGTAGTTGTTATAACTGAGTTACTACTTTCTTGGCACCTTCAAATGAAGAGAAATGTACTTGAATGTACAAGAACAGCAGTTCTAAAGCCCTGTAGTATTGAATTTAGTTTTGCAGTAGTAATAGTTTTAAAAGATAATAGACATCTTATAAAATGTAATTGTGGCTGTGAAAACAGCTTCAGATAGTTTTAGTGCAAGGTAGCTGCATACATTGTTACAGGTGCTGAAGTTGATATGCGTGGTTCATCTATGTGAGTTTATATAAGAAAGCAACAAATCCGATTAGCAGACTGTATTACTTACATTCTTTTCCCAAATACTCATTTTCCTGTGTATTTTGGTTTTTTTTTCTAGAATCTTGAATGATTAAGGAGTAGATGCCTGAATCCAGCCAGAGTCATGTTTTTATCTTCTTGGGGCCCTTGGCTTTCAGCTTAAGATGTGTGTCTATCCAAAAATACCCATACGCTATAGTACATCATTAAAAGTAGCTTGACATAAGCTGCTTGATGTGACAGCTTGACTGCAATGTAATATCCCATCTTGAATTAGAAAAGTTTTGAGATTCCAATTTTACCACATACTGTTACCTCACTTTCTGGTAGTTTCTCATGCCATTCATTGCCCTTTTTGATGCTTCCCCTAATCTAATTTCCTATCTTTCTTTTTCCTAGGGAAGAAACTAGGTAGAAAAAATGTGTTCAGATGGATGGTAGTTATATAATGAAACCAACTGATCTTACTTACTAATAGCTATATATTCCAAGATACATGAAAGGCAGGGTCCTTTCTTTACTATCTTGTTCGGAATGGAATACACTTCTCAAAATTTGGTAGTTAAAAAACCCGTAAAACTAGTTTACTTTCCAGATCTCATAATGTTTCTTTAGGCTAACAAATCAGACACTAGGGTAGATGCGAGTTACTTCTTTATAAATGTTCATGTGTAGTTTTCCCAGGTGTTATCCTCCAAGATAACAATTGTGTTTTGCTGTCTTTGCTGCTGAGTGAAGAGAGTGTGTGAAAAGACAATGGGTCTTCTAAAATTGTTCTGTTGAGTTGGGTTTTTTCTAGAAAATGCTGGAGCAAATGTTATCTCTCCTTCCACTATAGTAACTTCTGAAATAAATTGCTAATTCTGACAGTCTAGTGTCTTCTGTAAAATGAGAAAGTATTTTTATTATGAAAATAGCTTTGAATAATCATTCAAATTACTTTTCCTTCAATAGTGTAACCTATAGATCTTTAGTTTACAGTAATTTTCCTATATAATTAAGAATTTTGCCAAAACCACTTAATATTTGTGCAACCGCATTTGACCCATAACTTTTGTTCAAAAATTAGTGATAGTGTGTGCACAAATATTTTGCCTTTAGCAGCAAACTTTCGTTCAGGGATCAAATAATATGGAATAGGCTTATTCCTCAAATGTTGGGGTTTTTTTTTATCCTAACTCACCTCAACATGTCCTCAATGTATCTTATTTCTTACAGATGCTAGGACTGGCACAGGGGTGTTTTGACCACACAATTCCCTATACAAAGGAGAGAGTCCAGTTTGGGAAAAGCATTTTCGATTTCCAGGTACTTGTTAATGAACACATGGGAAGTTTCCTCCAGGAGAGTAGTAATTACCACAGTAGAAGAAGTCAGTAAAATGAGTCATCTGATTTGCATAACTGTGCTCATCCTTGTGTCATGTCTCTATTTCTCAATGTTTGAGAAGAATTTTTCAAAAGAATTTCAGATGAGCAGTCATGTGCTATGTAAAATATATAAATTCGGTGTTATGTGCCTTTGCAAGTACTGTATACATCATTTAAAACTTCAAAACATTATTAACATAACTCCTTTTCCTTGATAGTATATTCACTGCCTCTGAAAATAATGCACATGGAACTCCTTTCTCTTCTGATTTTAATATCACAGTATGTTGAACATGTTCCAGTTTTTATAGCCTTTCATGAGGTGTAGGGGAAGGCCTTTTTCTGGAGACACTAGAAATTATAAAAAGATGAGGAAAACTGATTGAATTATTAGATTTCCTGTGTTATACAAAGACATTTAGTTTTCATGATAATATCTGTATCTTAAAACGAAAAAGACTCTTTGTTGCAAAAATGATGTATAGTTTAATAAGGAAGATACATAATTGTAATTACTATAGTAATTTTCTTGTTAAAAGAAACCTACATCTCGGATGAAGAGAAGGAGCATTAGTACTACTCATAATTTATACAAATTTTAGGAAGCACCCACAGATATCTAGGAAATTATTGGAACTGCATCTTTTGAATAGGAAATGGAATCTATAATCGCCAAATCATTTTGTTATTTTGACCTGCATATATATTTTTGCAAATTTTAGGGAGCAGTGTTAATGTTCTAATAAGATGAAAGATTTCATTGTGTTTTAGGAGCAAGTTAGACAACTAAATGTTTAGTTTCCATCATCATAATGTTTGAGTCTCCTTAAATAAACCTATTCTGTAATACCTGCGATTTTGAGGTGGGCTCCATCACCTTTTTCCTTCCCTTTGAATCCATTCATCAGTCACATTCTCTAGACTTTTATGCTGCTCCTAACTCTTGTCTCATGGTTATGGGACATGGGAAGAAGTGGTTGTCACCTTGCTATTTCTCCACTTTATTTAAGAGGAGCTTTTTTCAAGTTTTTCTCGGTTAAGGTCACAGCTTTGACCTACCCTAGCACGGGTCTCTGTGGTGCTGAGGAGAACATTAAGATTTGGCTGAAATACTCCTTGATAGTCATGGATGCAAATAGGTTCATGTTGAACCCTCCTGTCCAGCCAGTCAGGCAAGAAGTTCCCCAGGACTCCTGAATCCAAGAAGAAGGAAGGAGAAAATGGGAGTGCAGTTCCTCCAAGGACTTTGGTGGCCCAGAGGTTTTCCAGCATGGATGTCATAGACGCAGAGATGTGCAGACTTCCTAGTCCATCTAGATTTTGTATTTTTATTTTAGAGCATAGGTATGTTCCTTGGTGAAAAGAATGGTTCTTGCTAGAAATTCCAGTTGAGTTCTAGACACTGGTTCTGTCTGACTTGTGGCGTGCTTGTTACAGGGGATGCAACATCAGATAGCTCAGGTGGCCACACAGCTGGAGGCAGCGAGGTTGCTGACCTACAACGCAGCCCGCCTTGCCGAAACAGGAAGGCCATTCATAAAGGAGGCCAGCATGGCCAAATACTATGCTGCTGAGGTAACTTTCAGTTTCTTTATTCAGTGGATTTATTTCACTGTTGTTGAAACGGTTCTTCCGTTACTGAATGTATGACTTTTAATTCATGTTTTGCTGTGAGGTCTGTGGATGTACTTTTACCTTGTTTCTCATTCTTAGTCCGTGTATAGAATGTAAAGTAGGCCACCAAAGAATGAACTGCTCATGCCCCTAAATAAAATTTTGAAAAACAAGCAGCAACATCAAAAGAGGAGGTGAATTTGTATTTTCACTCACGTAGAGAGATTTCATTCTCTCAGAATTCTCTTTTTCTGGCAAGAGAATATGGCGTGGTGAGACTTCATTTGTGACCATTTCAACTCTGCTGGTCACAACTGTGAGTCCTAATGGGATTCAGAACTGGCTTGCTTCTGCCTCTCTGTAATTGCCGTCTTGCATACCACTGCTAGTCTTTTTCATAGTGCAGCATATGAACTATTGCAGTAATGGTTAGTGAATTCTTGATGTCCTCTGATTTAGAAAAATGCCATTTTTATCCTAAAATAACTTGCATAAGGCGAATACAAAAATATCAGTCCTTCCTCTTCCTGCTTGTTCTAGTAACTGCTTTAATTACTGTTTTGTTCTTGCTTTAAATAGCTACAAAGAATAACACTTACTGTGACCTGCATGAAGTTGAAATCTGAAATTGTAACTCTGAAACTATTTTCATAGGTTGCAACACTGACAACTAGTAAATGCATTGAATGGATGGGTGGTGTTGGATTCACAAAAAATTATCCAATAGAAAAGTACTATCGTGACTGCAAGATAGGTGAGTGACAGTTTCTTAACAAATATTTCTTGTAGCATTAGTAGTATTAAAGTTTGAGGATGAATGACTGGCTATTTTTTTAAGATATTTTTTCCCTGAGACTGTAATCAGCAGTGATTCAAAGGCTCAGATATGGGAAGGGAAGGTAAAACTTTAGGTGTAAATATCCATGTATGTAAGGCTTGTTAAAATGTTTAACTAGTTACCAATAAATACAAACACACACATTGTGTCCCTTTCTATTAAGAAAATTCTAGTTCAAAAAAATCAAAAATACTTTCCTTGGCTTTAAGATCTGAATCTATGTAGAGTTTTATTTTCAAGACTTCCTTGTTTACCATTATAATCCTTGGACCTAACAGTTGTGACATTTCTAACAACATTGCCCTTTGACTTTTATTGCTGATAGCATTTGTAAATATTTAAATTTTGTTGGTTATTTATGAATTGCTTTTCAGGAAAATGTCTTGTCATTATGTTGTACCAGCAGAAAAGTATTTTAATTGTTGCAGATAATAAAATATGAACATTTATGTAAATGATAATTATGTTTCTAGAACTTGCTCAGTAAAACTTCACTTTGTAATTCTTAATGTTCTAACTGGACTGTTAGAACAAGGTTTTGATAGCTCTTCATACACTTACTGTGGGTTTATAGTCTTCTAATTTATTTTCTTCTGATTTCAGGTACAATATATGAAGGAACTTCAAATATCCAGTTGAGCACCATTGCAAAAAACTTAGCACAGGAATACTGAAACCATAAGGACTTCCTGACTGTTAACAGAATTATTTCACTATACATCCATTGTGAAATACACATTTATTTGTAATTATAAAAGTCATAAACAAGAATACGTCATCGCAGACAAAATCATAACCATGAATCCCCATTTCAGGACAGTGAGTGTGTCATTCATGTGAAATCATGAATTCCACATTCAAATCCAAATCATGGGTTAAAAGTATTTCTTTCTGCCTGAGACAATTCTAAGCTAGCACATTGGCTGAAGTTATTTTGTCGCTTTAAGTTATACAAACAGTCTATCTCCACTTGGAGATTTCAAAGCAAAAAGAAAAGTAGCCAAAACTTTGGCTCGCCTGGTGTGAAAGGTTCTGTTAAGCCACCTGGCAGAAAGGAGACTACACGTGCAGCAGAACTGTTGGCGTGGCATGAAGCTGCTGTTTGTTCATGATGCCCTTTATTAGCATGGGGTGCAGGAGAGGTATGTGGAAAGAGATAGAAGTGATGGTTTCGTCTCTCCCGGGTGGATGTCTGTGGTGCTGCTGTAATTGGAGTAATTTTTATAGCAGCCCTTAGTGTGTTCTTAAGTATATCTTGGTAATTAAGCCCTTCCAGCCCCAATTTGTAGTACTGAAAGGTGGATAATATCTACCTCCCTTTCCAGCCTTCTCAGCTGTTAAGGGTTTTAATCTAAGAGGCTATTTATAGTTCTCCTTTCATAAAAGGTTGAGTTGAAATCTTTGTGAAATGGGGTTAAAAAAGCACTAGTAGTTCAGCAAAAAGACAGAGATAGAAGCTAGGTAGTAGGAATGCTGTGATACTACCTCACAGCAGCCTTTCCATGTTTAGTGCATTTTACAAACTTTAATCCTTAGAACCTTCCTGGGAGTTAGGGAGGGACTGTTAATTTGCAGCCTGGAAAACTTGCTCATTGAAGTTAGTGGTTCTTGGTGAAGTTTTTCTCCTTTAGGGAGGATGGGGGGGTGAGAAGTATTTGCTTTTTTTATCCCTGTTTACTTTAAAATTAGACATTTTATTTATGGCAAAAACCTCTTCAGTGCTGGAGAACTAATTAACTAAGAATCAAGAGACAGAAAGCTTAGTATATTAAAAATCATCATAATTGCTGTAATTGGCAATTTGTTTCAAGTGTTTTGGGGAGGGAAGGATTGGTTTTATGGTTTTGGCTGACTTAGAAGAATCTCATTCTTAAAGCTTGCCTAGTCTGATGATTCACTTTGAGCGGAGCTTAGAATGTTACAGGCCCAAAGGATTTTCTAGCAAAACTAGGGTAAATGACACTTAACAAGTATGATTTTGTAAAACAAGCAGACTGCAGTGCCTTATACAAAGAAACAAGCAAGGAGGAAAAGCACTATTAAAAAGTTTTCTGACTTTCTGTCAGCTTCAAAGGGAAATAACTACTTTAGTGAATTACTCCCCCTACATACATGCTTTGCCTGTCGATAGGCGAAGAATTAATGTGGTAATTATCCTTATGCCAATAAAGAAAGCCATATCAGTTTGATCAACAGCTTTGAGATTTTCAAAAATACAAGAGTTGGAGGGTAGACTAGATGATTTCTGAAGTTTTCTTCCAGGATTATTATTGTTATTATAATTATCATCATCATTATCATTATTATCTTTATCAGTGCATTTCAGGTTGTTTGCAGGCTTTCTTTCAGCTGAATTGAAATGGCTGGGGAGATTGTTAGAGTAGAATTAAGACTACAGACACCACCAGTTAACTACAGTTACTCTGCTCAGCGTAGTCTATCTGTGAGTCTAAAATGATCATAACCATACTACAAAATGCTTGAGTTAGCGTTGATTAATGTGATGAGTTGTGCTAATGTGACTGCAGAATGTGCTGTAGTTTAGCTTGCCTTGCTAACATGAGTGTCAGCAGAGATCAGGTTTTGATTCCTACTGTCTAATAGGTCTCCTAGTTTGATCCTACCTTAGCTTGGCTTCTGCAGTTTTGCATGAGGCTAGGAAGCGAGCGGCTATACTTAACTGACTTAATACAGTGCTTTGTTATTATAATTATCATCATCATTATCATTATTATCTTTATCAGTGCATTTCAGGTTGTTTGCAGGCTTTCTTTCAGCTGAATTGAAATGGCTGGGGAGATTGTTAGAGTAGAATTAAGACTACAGACACCACCAGTTAACTACAGTTACTCTGCTCAGCGTAGTCTATCTGTGAGTCTAAAATGATCATAACCATACTACAAAATGCTTGAGTTAGCGTTGATTAATGTGATGAGTTGTGCTAATGTGACTGCAGAATGTGCTGTAGTTTAGCCTGCCTTGCTAACATGAGTGTCAGCAGAGATCAGGTTTTGATTCCTACTGTCTAATAGGTCTCCTAGTTTGATCCTACCTTAGCTTGGCTTCTGCAGTTTTGCATGAGGCTAGGAAGCGAGCGGCTATACTTAACTGACTTAATACAGTGCTAAAAGCAAACCCTTTATGGAGGAGAGCGCAGAGCTCTTTGAAGGACTGTTAAAGGCTGGATATCCAGGATTATGTAAAAGGACTGTCTCTTTGTGTAGAACTGTGTCAGGTGTCTATTTGAAAAAATAACCAGGAAAAAATCAAAATAATGTGATTTCCTACAGCCTGAGCTCAGATGCCATAGTCCAGGAAACAGCCTGAACAGCCTCATCAGCTACTCAACAGTTCTCAGAAAAGCAAGGTCAAGCCTTTAACTAATGTTCCAGCTGTAAATATTTCACGTGTCTCAGTTCTGTATGCTGTATTCTGTACAGAATAACTTTTGAAAGAAATGCATTGTATTTGATTTTTGTCTACAAAATTCTGTGGAGGAATATGCGCACAAATCAATTATAACTGCTGAGTTTCTTTCATCGTTGTTTTCAAAAGGGCACGTAGCGTTAGCTATTCTGGTCGCCGACTCCAGGAAGAGTTAACTCGTCTGATTCCGTTGCTGCAGACAACGGTTTAGTAAAAAAATGTGCTGTGTGGTTCTTCAGGAGCTGTTAAGAGCTGCTTGCGCTCCCCACCCCCTGCTCAGTTTGGGACAGGCATTTTATGGATCGTCATAAATTGCATTTCTGCATTTGGCACTGTGAGCCAGGACTGCCGATGGTGGCTGGCTGCATCAGTAGGTGTGGGGCTGCAGAGCTGGCGTTGTGAATGCTGTGAGGCTTTCTGTGCTAATGACAGGACTCAAAGCTGCTTTATACACCATATGTATTTGTATTAGTGAGTTTTCCCTTTATATGCCCTTAGTCAGCCCAGTCAATCTAGCCTATTGCCCTGGAACAGCATTTTCAGTTCCAAATGTTGCATCTGGGCTTCCACAGTTAGAAGAAAAGACCTGTATTGAGAACGTGTTAAAAGTGCCTGAATTTTGTATTTGACTTGATACAGGGCTAATCCTGTGATGGTTCTTTAATAATCTGTCATTTTAAATTGTGTCCCCAATCTTGCAATTTTTGTGCTCGGAGAGAATGAATTTATCTTCTGTCAGGTTTCTTTAGTAGTATTGTGGTTTGTAGTAAAGGTCTGAGGCAGGTTTCCGCACAAAGGTTTAATTGCTACATGGGAAATACTCAAATACAACATTTTATATAATGTTTTCTGTGTTGTTGTTTTTTCTTTTTTATTTTCTTCTCCCCATATAAAGATTGTGTTAGAAAAGGTGTATGTGAAATATAAAGTAATTGTTCACTGGGAGCCTTTCACTATGTAAAGAACTTTCTAATTAACATGTTATTGCATTTCCGTTTGGAAATCTTTTGGTGAGAGACACATTTCAAGTTCTTCCTACTAAGCTAAGCTCGATTTGAAACACAGGCTGGTTCGAAAGCAGCTGTCTGACTTCCCCGAGCTTGCTTATGGAATACGTGAAAGCTGAACCAATGTTTTTCCTCCAACCCCAGAATGTATTCAGTGTACCACTGCAATAGATCATCTCCTAAGAGAATTAGGGGGAAGTGGTTAACAGGCACCACAAATAGTTCATAAATATTTACCTGTTATGTCATCGCTGTGCAAACTGTTGGCGGAGACACAAATCAAGTGAGAGCTGGCGGGCAGATGAACCTGTACTGTATGAGTCCCAAGGAATTGTCATGTGATTTGTCATTTTATGTTGTAGTGAAATACAGTCGTTGCAGAGTGTTTTGCAAAGAGTTGTCTTCTCTGAAGTCCAACTCCTTGGTCTAGGTCTGGGTGAGGAGGCGTGGTTAGTAGTCCTACTCTTCTGGATTTGGCTGCCTAGAGCTATATAGCATGGTCCACTGTACACGCGGGTGAGAGGAAGCAAGGGGTCTTTCTGAGCCCACACCAGAGACAGTCAAACATGAATGCACAGTGAATCCGGAGTTCCAGGCTAACAAGTTGGAATGACAATAATTATTCCAGTTAAACATGCCAGTTGTAAGATCAGTTGCTATAATTAACAAAGTCCAACTTGGCAGCATTGAGGGAATTTCTCATTATCTGGTACTAGAGACATTATTAAGCTGCTTTGAAATCTTGGCGTTTATTATCCTCTAAAAATATTCTGCTCATGTGCGATAACTGTCTAATACACTGGGTGACTAGAACTAACCACTGTTTCCTAATAGCTTGTTTCACAGACCAGAGCATTCAAATGTTGATTGGTATTGGTATATTAATGTTCAAAAGAACATGCAATGTACAACGTAACATTTTTCCTGATAAAATACTTTAAAAAATAAGTCAAACAGATGTACAGTCTCAGCAGGCAGTGATAGCATTTTTATATGTTCTTCTGTCTTTCAAGATCATTTGTATTTACATCTTTCTGAAACTGTTTTTCCTGTGTGTATCTTATTAGCTGTAGAGCTCCTAATACGGAAGACTGACCCATAAAGAAATCTCAAGGTGACTTCACTGAAGATCCTAAAGCAAAAGCACTCCCACCTGACAGAAAGCTGTGTCTCAATAGCCAAGTAACCAGCACTTTCAGAACTGGGTTTATTTAATACACAAAACGAGGACTTCTGAACGTGCAGAAACGTACGTTCATCAAACATCTTGCAGGCACCTCTGAAGAAAGGAAAGATATTACAAGTTGTAACCACACTCTTGCAAAAGAAAAAAAAAACCTGAATAGCAACAGGAAAACTTAAAATACAGCAGTAAATCCCCAACTTCCACACAGCAGGCTTGTGTTATGTGAGGGTCACCTAACCAGGAAATCCGCATATATGGAGGGAATAGTAAATTCTGCTCTCCAACCAGCCAGACCATTTGAAGTGTTACACAAACCATTGTCACAATTTCTGACAATTCTAAAAACATCTGTTGTAGATCATCAGATGAGGCAGGGCTGGACTGCTTTGGGTATGTTTAACAGAGGAGAGAAGTCAACTTGCTGACCTTAAGAGGACTTAAAATGAGTTTTGCTTCACCTAACAGCTGGAGAGTCATGGTGGGAAGGTGCCCATTGGTGGGAAGAGTGGAAATGGAGCGGTACGGCGTGTTTGGTTGAGGGCCAAATGCAGGCTGGCAGGCCAAGAAATGCCTTAATGCTTGCCAGCTGTGAGACAACTTTCTTTCCTAGGATAGAAAGAACGAAGGGAAGAGTGGAGCTGCAATATGATGGGTTCATGTTGAGTTTGTATCCCCTGCCTCTCTGTGTCCCCTAAGTTTGATTGTTTCAGGTTTGAAAAGTTTCCATTTGGGAGCCTGCAGAAGGACTCTGGCTGGGTCTCCACTTCGCAGGAAACGGAAAGCCCTGATACACAGATCCAGAGCTGATGTCCTGCTGCCTGAGGGGTTGTTCCCTCCCTCCTCTTACCAACATTCAGCTGAGACTTCTAAATGATGACCCACCCATCAGATGAACAGAATAATTTTCTGGTCATCCTTTTCATCTGGTTAAGTTTGCTGCAAGTTTCTTGGATGTTTTGGGCCCAAATTATTTTCTAAGACATGCTGCAAGATATTTCTATTCACTAATTTGCATCTTAAGGATGCAAATTAAATGCAAATTTTTCAATATAAGCAGAGCAATCATCCAGTTTTAATTTGGTACTGTGTCGATGAGTTTTTCTGCCTTTGTTTAGATGGTACCTAAAGACATGATAATTACATTTTAGAAAGACACGAGCTTCTCTGGATATTTTTTTATCTGTAGGGATACAAAAAGCAGAGAATGTGAAAGGTTAAGAGTCCCAGAAGCTGCAAACGTTATTTATGCTAAAAAGTATTAGCTGATACAACTTTGTTTATGGAATTACTGTATCATGCACCCAACAGTGGATAAAGGATGAGCTGAAGCGAAAAAGCCAATTTGAAATGTTACTAAGTTATAGGCACAACGTTTTACTTTTTTTTTTTTTTTTTTTTTTTTTTCCATTTCATCTCGTAGAGAACAGCTTTGTGTTAACTCTGCTAAACCGACCTAAAAATAATCCAGGAATAATTCAGAAATTAAGGTTCTGGAAATTCAGTTAGGTACTGAAAAGCTCCATAGAACTTGTTTTGTTAATAGAGCTGTTGAAGATACAGTTGGTATGGAGCAAATGTGTTTTAGTGCAAAAGCTGATGCTGTTTGTTTTAGGTAAGAAAATGTTCAACATTCTGTTGCTGAGAGGGAGGATGTTTACACACCAAATGCAGCATTTGCTCCAATTGTTCCCCTAAGAATTGAGGCAAAGCACTTTTTTCAGCTCAGGTACTTTCTGAACTTTGAAAATGCTTTATGACTCCCTAATATGTACTAGAAGATGGTTGTATGATATGAAGGCTGTATTTACTTCATAGTCTTGTTTTCCCCGTGTTCAGAGAAAAATTCCTTATGTTCCACTGTATGATTTTTATCAAACACAAACTGTTACGCTGCCACCTTAAATTCCAGACTACTTTGGTCTTCTCAGTGTCTGTCCAACCAAGCTTTAAAAAGCAAGTAATTTGCAGTTTAATTGCAGCAATGTCTACATGTGATTGACATGGCAGGTTGTCTTGATTGTTGCTTGCATAATAACAGCTAGATTCAGCAGGCTACTTGTCACAAAATATATCTGACTGTCGTGCAGGAGTCACAGTTTCCAAGCTCCAAAGCAAGGTGCAGCAGCAGGTCTTCCATTTTGTACTAGAAGTATTTTAGCTCTACTGTGCTTTGACTTCAGTGATTCAATTTGCAGAGATAAACAGTTCTCTGGAGTTAATATAGCTTGTCGTTACTTAATAATTATTTAAAATGTGCCTTGTTGCCCTTGTGTAAGAATCTGGGCCACGAGAGTTGTGGTTGTCCTCTTAATTCTTCAGGGCGCTGACACAGCACTGGGTGAAAGCACCCGATGACCTGGTGTCTCAGACTGCAGTATAATAGCCAACCATACTGCTGCCTCTACTTGGAAGTGTCCAAAAATCTTTTTTTTTTTTTTTTTTGAACTGTAAAAAGCTGCCTGGCACTGAATTACATCTATTTCTTGACTGAAACATATCTGCTCTATGCTAACCTCATTACCCAGGAATGATTTCTAGAAGAGGAAGTGAAGAATAATTAAATCATTCCTAACTGAAGGAAATGCTTCGCAGAACTATGCAAATTCCAATTTGGCCAAGATGCTGTGGTTTCATGTTCTATTTCTGGGAAGGGCAGAGGGAGAAACCGTTATTTTTGGAGATATGGATAGCCAGGTTCTGGCTTCATTTTTCTCTCTTGCCTCGAGATGAGAGCGTGCTGGGGCATCCCTGTTCAGGAGGAAGCATGGTCCCTGCTGTCGCCTGCTTCTCGCTGCCTGTCCTGCTGTAAGTGCTTGTAAATTAAACTTGCCCAACTTGCTGCAAGCGTCATCTGCTTTGGCTGACGCTTGCCAAGACCCCTGAAGGGGGATATTTTGCCTGCCTGCAAAATCAGGGCTCAGCCTCATCTGAAGAAGAGACTTTGCTGCAGTGGCGTGCTGCCCTGGCTGTCCACACAGGGCAAAGGTGCGAGGGGATGGACCTGCTTCCCCCTGCTTCTCAGCCTGTGATACAGTGCCAGGGGAAAAAAAAAAAAAAAAGCAGGATTACATTTTGGAGTTAAAAAACAAGATGCCTGTGTTTGAGCTTAGCAGGAGTGCCTGGGGGAGCCCGCAGGCTGGGCACAGCCCTCCCGGGGCTCACATCTTTAGATTTTTACGTTTTTCTGTGTGCAAATCTGCCCTCAGCGGAGAAAAAAAAAAAAGAGGTGGGGGGGGGGGGGGGAGCAGTACAGGGAAAGCTAGCTATTTTTATGTGGGAATGTTTGCAAATACATTAGTGATGTGTAATTGAATTATTAACTGGAAAAAATATAATTACGAATGCTGGAAGAATGGCTTTTCAGTGCTCCACAACTTTTGTCTTTCAAGGAATCAAATTGCTAAAATGAGCTGTGCACTCAAGAAATCCGCTCAGAATTAACAACGTATGTCCTGCTTTTCCAGCTTTTCCTTTAAAAGTTACATATTATAATAATGAAGTGTAAATAGCGAACTTCAGTGATTTGCAAAAGGTACCAGCCTTGCGTCTTTTCTAAACTGGTTGATTTATGTGCTGTTTGCTGTTTTTGAGAACACAAAACAATTAATTTATGTGTGAAAAGAACAGTGAATTAATCCTAGAGAGCCCTGGAGCCTTTAAAGACCTGAATCATATGTTGAGCTCGTTTAAAACTTGCATAAGAAATTAATGTAGAATAAAGCCCTTTAATTTGAAAAGTGCATCTATAGTAGGTGTCCCTAGGATATCTTCTGGATCATTATTCAGAAAGGTTAAGGAGGACTTTATTTTTTTCTTTCTTTCTTTTTTTATATTCAGTATGTATTTTCCAGTTTGCAGCTCAACATGGTGCATTTCAACTTCTAAAGAGACAGAGATTTTAAAAAGAAACGGGGAGCTTTTTATTCACCTTCCACTTAATTTCCTTGCTGCCTTGCCAGTCCCAGCTTAATGAATGTAATTGCTACCTTTGATGAAAATACTATTATCAAGATCACACATTACATTGGAAAACAGTTTTTCTTTAAACACAGCTACTGCAGTCTCTAATTATGCATGTAACAAGTGGCTCCCGAACAAAAGAGCATGTTGTCTACAATTGCTAGGAATTGGAGCAAGGCAAATTTGAACAAAGAACAGATTAGATTTCCTCCATGCTCCACAAAGCCCATTCCCCTGATTAATTTCCTGCAAAAACTAAAACAATTCTCTCGTAAAAGAAACTAACCCTCATCCCCAGAATGATCCATATGCCATTTGTGTCAATCTATATGATGATAATGGCTACAGATTTAAATTATTAACTATTAGGTGTAGTAAAATAGGAAAGCTCTTTTATAAACTTACCTTTTCATATGTAAATAAGCAGTACAAGGACTTAAGGAACAAAAACCTGACTTTTCTGTGGAAACTAGGAGCAAGAAAGCACCCAGTAACTGAAAGTCTGAATTGTGCATGTATAATCCAATTATTTTGTCAGTTTACTCTGTGCCCGGTATCCTGCACAGGCGCTGCAGCAGGAGTATCAGGTCTCCTAACACCATGTTGGGTTTTCCAAGAATGACATGTTTGAGGGCTGCTTCCCATGTCTGCACCTTGAGGAAAGTTCTTCTGAAAAGGATTTCATTTAATTCGTAAAACAAACGATTTTGTCAACAAGATTTAATGAGTCAAAATCAGAACTGGAAATTCATTTTGCTATTATTCCATGGAAAAGCAGGCAGACACTGGTAAAATTTTGAATTAGCACTTGGCCGCTGATAAAATCCCGTGATATGGATTGAATTGGTTTTTGTGTTACTAATACAAGGAATTAGTCATAGCAGTTTAGAACATAGTGTTATTTTTCATTCTTATTTGTATTGATCTAGGATCTCTAGCTGTAGCCCATTGTGCAAGATGCATATAAACCACAGTTACCTGGATAAAAAAAAAAAAAAAAAAAAAAAAAAAAGAGTTTTGCTTCAGAGTGTTTACAGGATTGGGTGTGGACTAACGTAAACACGTGTCTAGTTTATTTTTAACAAAAATTGGTGAGCAGCAGCAGTGTACTGGTAAAAAATCATCCCCAGCCCTGCATCCTCTTGCTTGCTGTAGTGAAACGCTTTGTTCCTGCGCGGGAAGTCAGATTGCTCACGTAAGAACTCCTCCTGCAGAGCTGGGGTGAGCGGTGGCGTCTGCTCGGCACCGTTCTCTGCCAGGCTGGGTACGAAGCCCCGTTACGTGTAACGCACACTGCGGGTCTCGGTTCGCTGAGCCTGGGCTTCGGCTTTTTGGAGGAAGGTGTCTTGTAAGGTGTCCTCTGCCACCATAAGCTCTGCCTGGCTCGGCCATAGGTGCCAGCGTCTGTCAAGTCTTCCAGTGGCCAAAGCCTTCAGTGCAGTCACTAAACAGTGAAGTCCGTTCACGACTCACTGGCACTGAAACAGCTGAAGCAAAATGTATTCTCTGTCATAAGCCTATCAAAGATATAAGCTGTTGAGGCCTCTGTAGAGTTTTTAAATACACTGAACTGTATCTTAATAGGGTTGGGTTTTACCCTTGAAATCTGGATTTCTAAGCAAGACACTGCTGGGAAATCTCCAAGCTTCAGAGCTATTGCCTGCACCCCCGGTCCCTTTATGTAAAGCAATGTCTCTTCATCTGCGATGTGTTTTCATGACTGTGTATCTATATGTCAGCTCCACCCCTGCGCTGCTCTCTGATGTCTGGTTTAGGTCTCTCTTAGACAGATTAACTCCAGTCTGTAGTGTTATGCTTGAAATAGGCGATGCTTCCTATGCTGAGATGACAATATTATGCAGTGTAGCGCAGGACCATAAGATGCAGCAGAAGAGAAATGGTTCTAAAATTAATGATGTGCAATGGCCAATAATAGGTTCCTCGCTGTGAAGCTATTTCGCAAGAGAGAATGGCAGGGAGGGAAAGGAGAAGAGATACCAATTCTATTTTTCAAATTAATATTAATTGTCAGGATTTTTCTCAATATCCACAGCCTTTCTTCTTCCTTGGGACTCATCCTGCAAGGTCCTTCGGTCTCTTGTTATCTTATCACTAGGGATTGAAGGCCATGTGGAAACTTCAGGAACAAGTTGTGAGCGCTTTCAGTAAGGGCAGACTTTGCCAGCGCTGGGGAGTTCACACGGTTGGAGCTGCACTGCAGCAACCTTGCACGGGCAGGTAGAAGCTGCCTCCTGCAGCCCTGCTCAGTTTCTCATACTTCTCTTTGTGGCTACGAACTCAGGAGAACAACTTGCAAGTCTGTATGCTTAGGAAATGTAAATTTTACTTTTTTAGAATGTCAGCTAAATGTCAAAAAGCGGTGTTGACTGGCCCACGTCAAAGGATTAAAATAACCTGAACGATACTAGAAAACCTACAGGAGTTCCCGTCCTCCAGCCTGCCGTTCCAGAAGCGAGTTACGCTGCCCGGGGCGCGTGTCCCGCTGGAGGCTGCAGGGCTGCTGCGCTCTGATGTCTCATTCAACGTGCGGCAAGTTGTAAGGAGCTTCTCTCCGAGAAGGGAAGATAGTGACAGACGTGTTGTGTCCGGTGCCCGCGGTGGGAGAAGTGAGGTGGCAGAGGTATGTGTGTTAGCAGCCTATTTTTTCTGTGCAATAGCTTCCTGGGTCTTTGTATTCTCAGGATGTCGATGCGGAGATCGGGGAGACAATCCTGCCCCTCTTATACCTGTCGTTTAGCTCAGTCGCTAAAGGTGCTTTGTTTGCAGACTATCACAGTTCTTCCCAACTCACACTAATACAAAATCTTTAAAATGTACCCTTGCAGATAAGAAAGAAAAAAAAAAATCCACCCTCATAATTTCCTCATAATTTTCCATGTGTATAGAATTAATCAAGATGTAATTATGACACCAAATGAAATTACCAAGAACATCATAAAATCCTTGTTCATCCCAGCACCAGTATCTTTAAGAAGCTGAATAAAAGAAAATGTGAGTCCTTTATATGGAAAACAAAAATTGTTTCTCTTTCCAGATGCTTTTTCTCGAGTGTTTCAGGTGCCATGGGTCTTCTGACGATGGGACCACTGCAGAGCCTGCACTGGTGAAAAAGACACCTGAGAACAGCCCCGTATTTGTAAGGCTTCTAGCTGCAAATACCAGTGACAAAAGGGAACAGGATTATAATCAGTACCTGGGGAAGCTGGAGAACAAACCCAATATATTTAGAAAATCCATAATTACTTGCAGTTTAGTTCCTTGTCTTCCCCAAACCATGTCGAAAGTAACCTCATGAGTTTGGGGAAACATATTTGTGTACTTTTCTGAAGAAGTGTTAGGCTGTGAGTTTTTCTCCTCTTGGAAAGTGATCCATTGTTCCCTGCAGCGGGTGTTAGGTTCTTGTTTTACTGTAGCGTTTAAGGCAGCACACTGTAAAAAGGCTGGCTGGAGAGAAGACATGGCACTTGGACAGCATGAATATTTATCCCTTCATCACGCCATCCCTACTTAGGTCTCGCATCAGCCAATTTCAGAAGTTTAGCACAATTACTAGCGTAACCCCCAAATCCATAAGCGTTCTTCCAGGTGTGATGTGGTACCTAATAATGCATTTTTTTAGCATTGATGTTGTCTGGAATAAGCATTAATTCACAGACGCCTTCATAGCCCCTAGCGTGGCAGTTGTGTGGGGATGCAGGAGAGATTTCTCTTAGGGTGTGACGCATGCGCCAATTGCTACGGAGGAGCTCAAGCCTTGTGCTGTCAGCATCGGTTATTTTGTATGGGCAGATCAAAGCAGGAACTTGAAAAACTTAAGTCCCAAAGCCTGCTCGTGGAGCTACAGTGACTGGAAAGCAACCAGCCCAATTCCCGGGGCAACCACTTGTTCCCACACAAAGTCCTCCTCAGTCAAAGGGTAAGCACTGCTCCCTCCCTTTGCACAGTTTACTTTCTGTGGTGATCTGTCCTGGTTTCGGCTGGGATCGGGTTAATTTTCTTCCTGGTAGCTGGCATAGTGCTGTGTCTTGGACTTAGGATGAGAATAGCATTCATGACACACTGCTGGTTTAGTTGTTGCTGAGCAGTGCTTACACTAAGTCAGGACTTTTCAGCTTCCTATACGGCCCTGCCTGGGAGGGGGCACAACCCAGACTGCCCAGCTGCCCCAGCTGACCTAAGGGA